TCAGTCTCAGGGGCCTCTTCTGACTATTGAGGATAGAGGGGCCTCCTCTGACTAGTGAGGGTAGGGGGCCTCGGCTAGACCGCCAGTGTCAGGGGCCTATTCTGACTAGTGTGGATGGAGGGGCCTCCCAGACCGCCAGTGTCAGGGGCCTCCCCAGACCAGTGTGGATATTGGGGCCTCCTCAGATCCACTAGGGCCTCTCAGGCCATCAGTCTCAGGGGCTTCGACTGACAAGTATGAACAGAGGGCCTCCTTGGATCCATCACAGCCCCTTGGAGTCCGCGCGTGGGGATTCGTGGAACTTATTTTTACCGAGTTTGTTTATTCTGGAAGGTGACGACGTCCTCTCAAATCGAGACGAGGGGCCTCGAGTAAAAAGTGGGTGGGCCAAAACACATGGTTGGCCCCCCCACCTCGAAAAGTGGGTGGGCACTTGCCCACCTGGCCCCCCCTGTTCCTACGCCTATGTAAATGTTAACCGAATTTCGGCCGTCTTCCGCCATTCACAACTACGCAGCAGCATACCAGACATGACGTAACCTCTGACACGATCGGAGCGGACAGGAGGCCACACCCGGCCGGCGCCTCAGACGAAACAGGCTCGTGCCGGTGACAGGCCGCCGCCGTCTCTGGCACGGACCGCCGGGTAGCGCGTGGTTCCGGATGAGGCGGACAACTTCGGAGGCCGGCTGCGGTAGTTATTAGTCAGATAGCGGCTCCCGAAACTCCTACATTCTGCTAGACGCGTCACCACGCTGGAGGGTAGTCGGAGAATCGGTGACTCAAGGACTGCTGCAAAGCGCCGGCACAGTTCTGTTGCGATGGGACTGCAATGCAGCTTTTTCAACAGACCTCGAGCGGGTGCGATAATCCGTTAATGTGGTGCATTGCGATTACAACCAATCAAAGCCGCTGTCATAACCAATAAAAAGAGCGATTGAAACATTCCACTCCTTCCATGTTACATTCAGTCATCAAGGTAAGCCACTTCATTTAGCTGCTCTCTGTCCATAATCGCCTCTCAATAATCGCCCCTTCCCCCATGCCCAGCCGGCTGCGGCAAAAGGCTCGAAGCTCCCCGCGGCGCCGCCGGCGATTATAACGGTGCGTGTGACGAGAGCCGCTCAGTGGGAGCGGATCACCGGGTGACCAGCGGCAGTCGGTCAGCTGTCAGTTCCGCCTGGTAACATCTCCCCGCCCCGTGCGGACACTGCACCAGTACCGGCATCGTCCGCCGGGCCCTATTGATCTGACTCTACCCGCCGCCGGGTGGGGAGGACGCCGGCCGCCGCCCGGGGCGGGCCGGGGCGGGGAATGACCTTGACCGGTGCACATAGCCCTGCGGCGGAAACGGCGGGTCGATGCCAGTCAGACGGTAAGGAATGCGGCTGTCTGCGGCATGAGGAACGTCTGTTAACGTTCGCTCCGAACCCTGCCTCCATCTCCCTAAACTCATCTTTCGGCGCACTTGGGTGCCGACTGCTGATAGAAAAGTACGCAGATAGCAGCCTGCAACGCCGCCGCCACCGGCAGCCCTGGTCCGACCACTCAGCACCACGGCAACATACGCAAACTACAGTACACCGATTGAGCCCTAGACGCATGCACTGCGGCCGACCCAGTCAAATCGACCAAGCTAGTGCAAGCGAGCAAAATAGGACGGGCGGGATTGACAGCCGCCAAGCAGTTTTGGACTTTATCCTATGCAATATGCAGAACTATCCATCTCTAAGCAGGCATCTCAAGTCTCGACACACTTTGGAAGAAGAGAAGAGAAGTGGCACAGAATCACTGCCTCGAAACCAATCATATCAGACCGGCACACTATGTAGGATGCCGTCGTTGGACATGACAACGAAAGAGGGGCACTCAGAGATGATTAAAGTTGCCAGAAGTCTTGCCCAGCGCACTCATCCGACACCGCCCACTATTCCGTCGGTTTCCTGCGTTGCGCCCTACTTCCCACCGTCCGATTCATTCAATTAACAGCCGAGCAAGTCGTCCAAGTAGAACAGCAGCCCCTGCGCGGTGCTCGCTTTAAGTTTCGACCCAGTTTCTCATCCCCAAGGGGACAAGTAAGCAGGGGCGGTGCATGTCGCACACGAGACTCCATCGTCAGATTGGCCGGCTAGCCGGACGGCAACGGTAGGGCGCGACCATCGGCTCCAGCGCCGGCGCCCAGAGGACAGGCTGCCTCCGCGGGCAACCGGATCCAGCGGTGACACATCCTTACGGCGGCACGCCACAACCGGAGCCCAACAAAAAGACAACCCGAGTCGACCCAACCCGACCCGAGCGCACCGCCTGATCCGGGCGTCAAACTCGGATGGGACGACAGAGTCATTCAGTGGGGTCGTGGCTGAAGTGACGACACGGCAGCCCGGCGGCTTACACAGCCTACACAGCCCAGCCTGCAGTGGGCGACACTTCCATATCGGACCGGCATCGACTGTCGAACGGGGCTCAGCTCAGCCCGGCACGCAGACCGTCAAACGGCACTCGGCAACACCGGACGGAGTAGCCCGCTACCCGAGCGAGTTTGAATCAGAACAACATTGAGGGCAAATGACGCAAATGTAGCGAAAAATAATTGCATGGAATGTGTCATCAAAATCGATTATAGTCATAGGTGAGAACTGAGAAGGCGTCTTCGGCGAAACGGCAACCAGCAAACGGTGACCACATGGTTATAAGGCTGATACAGAGGTCAAAGTTAAAAACAGGGCGCGCTGACCCGTGCCTCCAGCCGATAAGGGATGAGAGTGGGTAGTGGTCAGCACAGACCACCGCTCCCAGCCGCACTAGAGCTCTGAAGCCCTGGATAGAGAGCTGCCGAAGCCGTACCTCGTCTGGTGCTACCTGGGAGCTGAGGCTGTGCACCGGGCCCGGCCGGACCGGAACGGAAAGGTGGTCGGCGGACGGCGACTGACCGGCGCGGGTGTGTGTGGGGGGGGGGGGAGGGGAGCAAAAGGTCCAGACACGTCTGGAGCGTACGATTCCCTCTTCCGGAGCCCGGCGGGGCCGGCGCCAGGTCCCAGGCCCCCTGGGGTTCGGTGACCGCCGGCGCATCAGAGGGGCCGGACCGGCCGAGAAGGCGGGGGTGGGGGGGGGGGGACAGACGCGGTGCCCGACCCCCGGGGAGACGACCGATGGCCCTCCTCGGATCGATACAGGGAAGGGTCGGGTCAGGGGTGTTTGCCAGACGCGCCGGTCCCGTCCCCGGCCAGTGGGACCCTATCATCCCAGCTGAATGGTGTGAGACCAGTCCCAGAGCTGGGTCAGTCAGTCATCTGCTGATTGCTTCTGACACTAGAAGAATTGGGGGAAAAGTAGCATTTTTATGGACATTTGAATATACCTACTTCTCTAATCTCTACCTTACCTAACCTGACATCTAATATAAAAGGGCCGGTAAACTGAACTTGGAAAATGAGAGGTTAAGGGTAACAACAGATTATCTAAAACAGAGAAATCTAAATGTGTGGTTACCTTTGTAACAATCCACTATTTCTAAATTTATGAATAGAAAAATGTTCATTTTGCTACAGATAACAGAAAATTACGTGAGGATCATATTTTTCATGACAATCACATTTGCCAAATTAAAAAAAGCAGGTATACCTAGATATGCCTTATACCTCTACAAGTAAAATACTACAAAGGTCCCACCGGGCAATGCCAACTCAGAACATCGTTAACTAACGTACTCTGTGGGACAATGTCAATGACTTTCATCTGACTAGACCATAGAAGTCTCAACTCAAGGAGTTAAAAAGGCCTACAGATGTGCCCACATCTGACAACTATAGCAAGGAAAAGAAGAGTTTTACCTGCAAATTCCTCTTGTTGTGGTAATAATCAGTGGGCAATGATGGGGCAAACCAGAACGCTGATTCCATCCAATACCCTATGAACTGTATGCTTCAGAGTAGTAATACTATATTGAAATTCTTCAAAATAAAAATGTGTATCACTTTGGGAAACATGGAGCAGAAAACCAGCCTGCCTACCTTGACCTATGAAGCTCTGCAGCAATAAGCATTGTGACAACAATCACATACCATACCAACTGTACACTTCCCTCGTCTTTTCCATTGAGATAGCTCCTAATGGCAGTAGAACATCAAGCAGGCTCTGTCATCATCAGAGGGGTGTTCACGGGCACCGCACACTGATGCGTGCGGTGTGTGCTGTGTTTGCAGCAGGCATGGGGGTAGGGGATGGGACGATGGGTAGGCGGTTTTGACGTCACGGCTGCATGCGGTTGACAGTCCGCTGTGGCCAGTCCCGACCGGCCACAGCAGTCGGGGAAACTATGGTAAAATCTGCTATTTTTAGCAGTCTGCTATTTTTAGCAGAAATCTGCTAAAAATGGGTACGCATGTGACGTCATCGTACCCAAATATAGCAGATTTGGGTACGGCCCCATACAAAAGCAGATCTGCACCCTAATTGAAGCAAATGCGCATCAAATGCCTGGCAGATTCATGATTAGAATAGTGCTGAGAATGTCCTCTGATATTTTGATTCAGATCCGACTATTTTCAAATAATGAATTTGAAAATAGTCGGATCTGAACAAAAATAGCAGAGATCACTCTCAGCACTATTCTCATCATGAATCTGCCAGGCATTTGATGCGCATTTGCTTCAATTAGGGTGCAGATCTGCTTTTGTATGGGGCCGTACCCAAATCTGCTATATTTGGGTACGATGACGTCACATGCGTACCCATTTTTAGCAGATTTCTGCTAAAAATAGCAGACTGCTAAAAATAGCAGATTTTACCATAGTTTCACCGACTGACAGCGATCGCTGTGTGCAGTATCAGAAGGCTGATGTAGGGACACAGTGGGCGGAGCTTGGAGGCTGAGTGCGATCTGACCACACACAGGGCCCGTGAACAGCCCTCAGATCAAATCACTGGCAGCCAGGTCACATTCTCGGCGGCAGCTGGTTTCATTTTCATTTTCATGCCGATAAAACCTGAAAGCAGCTTACCTCAGCATGTCCTGGTAGTTGATGAACACCCATCCTTTTCAATGACTCTGAAAGATCTTGTACGTCAATCCTTCCATCGCCATTAGCATCGAGTTGCTTGAAAAGCTTTTCGAGCCTTTTTTCATCCTCCTCACTCAGCTCATGCAAGTAATGAGGAAAATGAGAACCGTTTTCAATAGCTGAAGCTTCTTTCTTCATCTAGATAGTACTTCTATAAATCAAAGCTAAATTTATTTCCTTCAATATGAATTATTCATACACTTTTTCAAACCACAAGCTAATTTCCAACCGATCCTACAGCCTGAGATACCGGAACGACTCAAATCAACGGCAGAGAGCACCCGTAGAGAAATTCGCCACAATACTGTCTCTAGCGCCAGATATGTCGCCATTTGACTGTTCCGGAAATCAAGGATGTAGTAAATCAAACCTTAAACCACTGGAAAAAGAGAATTGAAATGGACCTCATATGGCAATAAGTAAATCTATCTTCCTATGTAGTCATATCTTTTAGGAATATATACAAATAAGGCCTGTGGTGGCATCTTCAGTCGCTAATTGCTATTAATTAGTCATTTTTGGCTAAGGCCTCGAATGTTAGATACGAGTTCATATCTCACTGGGTGCATTCATTAGGACAACTTGCCAAAATGTCCGTTTCTATTTCCGTGCATGCTTTTGAGGAATGCAATTATCTCATTTACAATTGGACCATGAGCCCGTAAATACAGTATCTCTCCCTCTCCCTCCCTCTCCCTCTCCCTCTCCCTCTCCCTCTCCCTCTCTCTCTCTCTCTCTCTCTCTCTCTCTCTCTCTCTCTCTCTCTCTCTCTCTCTCTCTCTCTCTCTCTCTCTCTCTCTCTCTCTCTCTCTCTCTCTCTCTCTCTCTCTCTCTCTCTCTCTCGCGCAATGGGCTCCTGTCAACTGACTGACCCTGTGACATTGTCGGGACCTCAATGGAGCTTAGCGAGGAGAAATCATGCCTACCTATTGGCCAATTTTGAAGCAATTCCTCCTTTTGTGGAGGAGGCATACCTACTGGCCTGTTTTAGAGTACGTCCCCTCTTTTCGAGCATCTAACATTTAGAGCTAATGTCCTAAATAGCCCATCCCCTGAATCGTCACTAAGCCATACCACGTCAGCTGTGTACAACGTGCGTCTAAGTCATTGTTCACATTCCAAGTGTCACCCTGCGCGCAATCGTGAGTACCTAGTGAGCCGGAAACTGAGCAGTGTGTGAACCGAGGACCAAGGCTATGTCCCAGGGCCTAGACGGCGTGTCCGCCGGCGGCACTGTGGACGGCCAAGAGAGGCTCAGGACTCACTATGAATCGATAAATCCAGTGTGATACGCAGTTGTGCACACTTGACGAGGTCCCACGAGGAACGACGTGATGAAACGACTAGGAACTAACTGACTTTTGAGGAGTAATGAACCGCGGAAGAGTTGCTGATAAGCTCACTTGAAGGTTCATTAGGTTGGTTGATGGCTATCCGTTATTACAATCAGGCGTTTGATTAAGGTTAACATTGCATGTGTAACTTTTAAAAGTGCCGATAACTCATCAACTTGCAGCAAGGCTCACCTAAGCATACATGACCCAAACCTCATCACAAAAAGCAATAGGGAGACGAAAACATTTATCAAAGACGATATCCACACAACGCATCTCTGCATACTAACTGACTTCGCGTTCAGCAAACTGAGGCGACGAGCGGGTGACTTCCCGGCTCCAGCGGCACAACTACGGCATTATTGCAGCGCGTGCCTGGCTCACACTAGTAGCCGCCCCGGCACCGGCCAGCACGGGTCGGCTCCCGCCGCACGCAGTGGCGGCTCGGAGCGGTAACCGGCGTCGGGCCGGGCCGGGCCGGTCGGTCGGCCGAGCGGGCCGGCGGCACTGTATAGATGTCGCCGTCAGCCCGACTGGCCCGGGGGTCACACCACAGCGCGGCCACCCTCGTGGCTGGTCACACCACAGCGCGGCCACCCTCGTGTTTGGTCACGGCCTCCTTCATCCGCGCGAACCAGGGCCCGATCTTGGTGTGTTGCAGCAGCTCCTGGAAGGCGTCGCAGCCCTCTGCCGGCACACAGACACACAAACACACACAGTGAGAGGCGCCGACTGCGACCGACGCGTGACTCGTCTCCCGGTCTCGGACTCATTAGCTGCGGACTGACGTAGTTCGCAGGCCGGCGACAGGAGCGCTGAACGCTGCTCCGCCTGCGACCGCCCCAGTTGATTGAGCTAATCAAATTAACGACAAGCAAGAACTGTAAGGATGAGCGTTGCCAACGGCGTTAGTGGTCGAATAGGGGAAATATACAGAACATTTATGATCATATGTAACGTCTATATCACGTTCAGGACACATGGGCTTCAATAACAGCGTTCGACAAATAATGAGTGCACTTTTGTATTCAAATAAATATCTTGTGACCACGTACGCATCATGTGTGGAAAATTTTAGGCAAATTAAGTCTAAAAAAGTCTTCGCAAAAGTCTTTGTTCAATATATCTTAGATAATCTAACACGTCTAACACATTTTATCCTAGAATCGGTAGCATAGAACCATCGGGAATTTCAATGATGATCAGATACATTAAATCGATGCATTAAATGATTAGAATTCATTCGGAACCCTGAATGATTCGATACAATCCATTTTGGGGTAATGATACGATTGCTGAGGAAGGAAGATATAAGAAAGACACCGAAAGCATCAACGATAATACGGACTCTGCAGATAAAATCCATTTAAACCTTGTTCGTTATTCCAAAGTCCACACAATCTTAGCTTTCATTAGCTTGACATTCTCTTGGAACAGACAAGGCGTTTTGTGCGTATTAAGGACAAAGCTCTCAAGTATTTCATTAATTTTGAAATTCAAATGCTGCAGGCAGGTTCAATTATGTATATGGACAAGTTTGCCAGTCCGACTTGGCGAATTCGGATAAACAGGGAGCTGAACATAAAAGCAATGCGGAGCCGCCTAGACGGATACTGCACTCACATAAATTACCTCATCCGTGCCTTTTTTCATTTTGTAATATGCATGACACAAAGGACATTCGGAGTTAGGTTAATCCCGTTCGCGCATAAAATGAGTGTGGAGGTAGCGACATCCGTGCCCTCCTACTCAAATGGCTCTCCACTGACGCTCGGAGCCGTGTGCTGGGGAAAACCGAGCCGGACCCACCGCGTTCGAGTCATTAATATCGACACCGACACCACTGAGCAGCGATTGAGCCGGATGCGGGGACTCAAACTGTATTTGCACACACACCACGAGCCAAACTGGGATTAGTTGGGATTAGCGCTGGTTCATTCAAAGATACCTACGCTGTGCGCGTCGCCCGATGAGCACCAACGAAAACATTGTCCTCTGAAAAGCCCTTTGTTCAGTGTGATGGTCAAGCTGTTTGTCGCCTGAGATGACAGTAGTAAAGCAAGAACACCACCATAAGATAGCTCGCATCAAAACCGATTATGATTTTTTTTTTTTAGTTACCCAAGCCATCAAGCATATCAATAGCGGGCCATTGCAATTATGCAAATTGCAAAAACTCGGGGAAATATACCGAGCTCATAAGTGATGTTGCAATTCCTGCTGGAAACAAGCCACCGGGAACCGGATGGTAACCGGTGGGGGCGAGGGGCTCGAGGGACTTGAGCCGTCTCCCTATTTTCATCGAAGCAAGAGAAACATTCGTAAATTGTAGCTAGTGAGCAACCTAAAACGGCATAGAATGAGTTCAGTTTTAGCATTCGTTAAAAAGTCGTGAGCTGCGGGGCTCGACGCTCCCCTACCTTTACCCGCGCCACAGCGATAGCCCGATCGTAGCACGGCAATCATGACCCCTCATCCGCAGGCCTCCTTCGGTCGCCTTTGTCGAATTGCCTTCAAATCAAACTGTTGTTGGTTTCGAAGGTTTTGAGCGCCGTTGCTGGACGTTTGCATGGTAAAAGCTAAAGATTCTACACTTTGTCATTTGGAACACCATGGCATATCGCCCACAAATGCAGATGTAATGTCACATCATATACACTTACGTTAATTTCCGGCGTCGGAATAAAATAAAAACCTTGAAAAAGAAACAAATAGCGCTGCAAAACTACACCGAAGCTCACACGGGTAACTATCAGACAAACTGTTCAAAAACAAACACACTGAGCCAGAGAAACCACCACTAAGATGCAATGCCAACCGGAACTTGTCCTGAGCGACCGGCGCGAGCAGTCAAAATGCAGACCTAAAATAGCCAATTCGCTCGGCATTGCCACTTCTCAGAACTGCAATACTACAGAAAAGGTGACTTTCTCATCATTCATCGGTCACACGACCACGGCCGAAAACGTACGTGCGACCGGAATTTATTTCACCGGCGACCTTTACCGCTCTCCCAACACACTGACGGGGCATCCCAGGTCGGTGGTGGGCGCAGAGAGCCGGTCACACGACCAGCAGACTCCGATAAAACGGTACGGCACATCGGACCAGTGTCCCCCGGGACGGCTCCGAGCGACCGCCGCCCGCGCGCGCTTGGGTAACATCTCGGCGGCAGGCTGCGGCGCGGCCGTGCATACCAACGCCTCCCGTCCTGCAACGCTGACACACGGACAGACAGCGGAGGCACGCTCCCCAGGTGGAACTGCCGCGGATCGATGGCGGTATCCGCCGGAAGGACCGCTCAGATCCGGCCGGATAGACCGTTCGGTGACGGCGGCGAACGGCAGCAGCGCGCTCGGCAATACCCAGTAATGCAGTACCCATTGTAGCGGCCCGGCCACGACCAGGTACTTGAATGTCACTGACGGCGGAACCCGGTCTCTGGGGATTGCCGCCGCCGACCGGTGACGTCACATGCTCTCAGGACGGTGTGACGTCACACACCAAGGACGACGAGACGGTACTGCTGAGGCGGTGCCGGTCGGTCGATAAATCAGGCGCGTGAATACTTCATGTCATCCGCTGCAAATTGGAGTCAAGAACTTCCGAACGCGATAGTCGGGCGACCGGATACTACACGGATGGGGCTCTTCTCTAATTTTGCTCTGAAATGTAATGTCCCAGCTGAGCCCAAAGTATGACAGAGCACAATTTTTACCAAGAGTACCATAGTTGCATTCGAATCACGCTAAATGCCTAGTACAATTATAATTGTACAATTAAACTGGAACGGAAACTTGACCATCACTACGTATTAAAATCGGAACCTTTCAGTTTTTTTTTTAAATAAAAACTGCCAAGCTGTTGCCAAAAAAAGCTTATTCGTCGTTCGCTTGTAAAGTGATACCACCTTTTGCAAAACCTTAAACGATAGGTGTTAATCATCCTGGCTAAGGTTTCGCGGTGCACTAATAATTATGGCTTGACGTTAATCCGAATAGCAGAAAACTTTCGACTACGCTCTTAATGTGTTCCCGCAACTGATTGCATGTGCTAAGCGCAGCGAATGGCAGTATTTTTCAATAAGCTATGTGCTTCACTGGTTTACTCGTTACTACACTTGACTTGAAATGGAAAATGTCTACATATTTCAATAACTATGCGGCAAAGACAATCAGCGTTTTACAAATGTACCTTCCCGTGAAATGTAATTCAATCACCCAGCATCATTTCCCGGAGTTTGTTCACATTGCATTAGTGGATGGAAAACGCATACCGTTGTACTTATGTGTGGAGTTGACGAGCTCACATCCATTCCAGAAATTCTCATCTGCGCTGCGTGGCGCGAAACACCTGCGGGTGGTAGTTTGCTACGCCCACGCAGCGTAACAGCAACGCAATCTGCTAAGGCTTCGTTGGGTGGTGTTCATAAACGCCTGCTGGCTCTTTTGAGTTGTTCGTACTCTTTTACTCTGCCACACATCACACATGTATGTTGTATTTTATCTAGTGCCTACTTCATCATTTTGTGTTTTATGCAGTGCATGTTATGTGTTATCACTTTACATTGCCTGAAATGCCGCACGCTAATTTAGTGGATGCAAGCTGAAATGTGTGACTGATTGAAATATTGATTGTTGTACGCAAAGTTCAAGTCAATTAGGAGGGAGAATGCAATAGGGTTGATTGAATTTAATAAGAGAAGTGGCAATTTGCCAGTCCTCCTCCTCACACACCCAGTATTACCACTCAAAGATTGTCCACCCGTTGCCGTGTTTACGACGCCAGGTGCCAGTCGAGTACGTGCCCCTGTCCTGCGCTCGCTCTTTTCTCACCGATGCTGGAGAGGACGCCGTAGACGGAGACGTCGGCCACATTGGGCCGCTCGCCACCCAGGAACGGCGTGCCCCGATGGCGCAGCTCTCGGGTCCACGTGTCGCACGCCTCGTACAGCGACTCGCGTACGTCAGACTTGAGGTTGTGTCTGCCGGCGCGCACAGAAGCCAGGTGAAAATACACACAAAACGAGCTCATACAAAGCGGCGGCGGTGCTCATATCGGCCTCCCTCGCCGATGTGTCGCGCTGTGGCAGCGTTCGTTAGCGACCTGACGTAGTAGCGGTGACGCTGCTTTCACATGCGTCACACATGGACAGAAGAGGGATCACGCCGCCCGGCCGTGACACTGTACGACTCTATGGGGAGGCGAGCTGCGTGACACTCGCGTTGCTGTGCACACTACACGGCCCCACACCTCGCCAGCAGTGAAACACACGTGACCACACGGCACACGGTGCTGACAGCCCTCTGAAACATTGACGTCACGCACAATAAACACAAAAATTTAGCCAACGTGATACTCGATCAGATGCCATTTGCAGGTGCGATACTCATCCCACCGAGCGGCCGCCCCCGTGCGTGTGCCCCAGCGCCGGTTATCAACCTTCTGTTTTCCTAGGAGGCCAATATTGAAACACATATAAAAACAAAATGAGGCAGAAGCCACACCCGGACGCGGGATCCTGTTGACTACGCGGTAAGCGCCGCCGCCCCGCCCGTGTTGCCGGGCCGGCTCTGGGCAGACGAGCAACACTCGATCACGTATGCGTCGACCGTCTGATCAATGCTGTCCAATGCATGACTTCAGGGAGCCGTCAAATACCTGGGGGCATTGGTGACTGGCCCAGAGACCAGAGCTTCCCCGCAGCCAGACCGACCGGCCAGTACGCGGCATTACGTAACGGAAATGAGCTCTGCTGCGGGGGAGGCGATTCATTGCACGGCACACACAGCTACGCTACAAGAAACCCGCAATAATGCGCCCGAACACACACAGAGCAGCCGTGAGAGGCGACGAAATACATACAGTTCATACGAAACACCCACGATCCGTAAAAACATGTCATTCGTCTCCATAACATGGCAACATCACAAAAGGGAGTAAGGGAGGAAAAATAACGGAAACACGCAAATATAATGAAAATCAAAATAAAGCTATGTGTATTGCAGAGCAGCAGATTGCAGCTATGCATATTATAGAAAGATATGTAGATCCCACCCCACCTTGCGTCTCGACTGTCGACAGCACCCACCTGCGTTTGAGGATCTTGCCGATGCCGTACATGGCGGCGGCGCCCACGTAGATGACCAGCAGGCGCTCCCAGTTGGAGAAGAGCCGCTCCCAGTCGCCGGTCTCGGAGAACCAGCGGAACGCCTGCAGCGCCTCAGAGGGCGTCCGGTACACGTTGGGGGACAGCGTGTGCACCAGCACGTCGTCGGCCCAGCGGCGCCAGGCGCGCTCCGCCCTGCAGCGCGGAGGGCAGGCCGCAGAGGTCAGGTCACAGCTCAGTGATTGGGTCAGGGAGCGGGTCGAGAGTTGGGTGGAGATAGGACAGGCAGGGAAGGCGAATTCAGACTAGGCACCAGAGGCCGATTCCATAAAGTTTGGTAGTATTTTACATCAAGGTGCATTTTACGCCCTCTTGAAGTGGAAGGTTTCAGCGTGTTCTGAGGGTGTGTTATACGCCGGATGTATGTTTTCGTTCGCTTTTTGTTATGTTTCATAACATCCACATTTTGTTTATAAAACCGTTCGGCGTAAATTGCAACCAAATGTGTAGAATACTGCGGTAGTTGCATGTTACGTCCTTTCATGAAATCAGCCGCAAGCGGAACACAGAAAATTACGCTTGTTCTGACTATGACATGTGCAGAATTGGTCATTACTGCGATAATCCTGTTCACCAGAACGCCTAATATCGTAAACATACATTGCCAGAACACGATTTCTTGTTAGCGCACCACAGAGGGAGATCAGTATTCTATCATAGCCAGAAGACTGCTTCCTGTAAACGCATCGCGCAGGGAGGTCAATATTCTATTTAGTGGATGTAAGAGAGACACTGCGCAGCTGGGGCTATTTAGATGCAGAGCGATTCCTGCTTGCTGCGCAGCATTCACGCTATATTGACGGTCAAAGTGCCGCAGCTATCCGCTATCAAGTCGGGCGCCTATGCATGAAATCGCCTACTGATCAGCGTTGCCTTATGACGCGTCGCACCATACAGCGGCTCTCGGCAGGGCCGGCGGTCCGGTCCGGTCCGGTCCGGCGCGGTCCTTTACGGCAATATCGCCGGCCATGACGTAACGGAGGCAGGTCCCTCCGCGGCGCGGCGCCCGCTCAGGGCACGCAGTCGCTGCATCACGGCACCGCGGCCGCCGGCGGGCCTATTGACACCGCCGCCAATAATGACCTTACGTCATGTGAGCGATTGGCGTTATTTTTGGGCGGAGCCGCGGCCGCCGCGGCCTGGTGCGCCATTCGTGGCCCCAGTGTCAACAGCAGCGGGCGCGCCTCATCCGCGCTGTGTGCACTGCAGATACGCGCGGTCCTCGGCCGCGCCGACCGGACACACACCAGAAAAGTCCCGCGCCGCGCCGAAACACGGTCCATCTAACGAGGGGGGGGGGGCGGAGGATGGGGCTCTGCCGCGGCCCCCACACCTGACGCGGGGCGGGGGATAATTTAAGGACAACGGCCGATGGCCGAACCGATACTACATTCACATGCAGGCGATCCTACCTACCTTCCTCTATTTTCAGCCTTACAGAACAAATTGAGATTCCCCGTAACCTGAGGGTGCTTTATTCTTTAACAGTGGCTAAGGTTAATGAAGGTGCACTGAAGCCCAGGGGATTTTCGAATCACAAACTAATTATTGGAGAATGGTGCCAATCAAGGGCGCGAAACAGAGTTTCAGCTTAGAGAGGACGACGAAAGGCGATATAGTTTAAACACAATTGTGAGCCGACTGTTGTCCAGGGTGTGAGCCCAGAATACTACATAAGCATGCTTACGTAAAGGTTCCAGAAGTTTGGTGTTTGGTTCAATAAATGGCCAAAACTTCGCAATGAGATCAGGTAAGTACAGTGCAAGGTATTGTCTAATCAGAGGAATTGCAGGATTGCGAACAATCACGACAAACAGGTGAGGAAACACAAATAAATATATTAGAAATCAGTTCGGAGAAGTTCACAAGACATCCGGACACAATACCAAAGCCATTTGCTGTTCCGAAACTACATGGAGAGTGGCACGGATGCCCACAAACACTTGGCACTCGGATGGTAGAGACAAAGGCCTCTATTTACACACTCAACTCCTCGTCTCGGTCACCCAAGGACGCGCGCACAACGATCGCATCGCACGTTCCGGGCAAGCTGAGCTACCATTTCTGCACTCAGCGATGGTCACACGCTGGTCCGTTCTCAGGATTGTGTAGCACGGGATGAAAACAAACCGCTCATAATAGCGCATCGGGCGCAGAGTACATCTGACCGGCGCGTGATACAAGTAAACAGCGACAGCCGTATGACGGCCGTTCACCCGGAGAGCAGCACAAAGTGCTCCTGGAACACCGCGCAGTTGGTGCCACAGCGGGCGATGCACATCAGAGGACGCTGTGATGAGCACGAACCAGTCCCCGGCAGGACGCCGTGCGTCACCGCGGCGCCCTTCACGCTCAAAGGGAGCGCGAATAAAATAGCGCTTCTCAGACCGGCAGATTATTAGAAAACTTGATAACGATAACTCCGGAGGACACCACAAAGGTGATATTTATTTATGAAAAACTTATAATGCGCAGATGAGCCGAGGGAAATATACTAACCGAATTGAAAACCCGCGCTCTAATTATACGCATCAGTCAGTTTCTCTGGCGCGGCACGTGTGCACGTTGGGCGGTGTACCGGCGACCGCAGTCGTCGCTCAAAGTAATCGGCTCCCGGGGGCGGACGGGTGCCGGTAATTGGCGACAATGGCACATCTCGCGCCATTAGCGCGCGCCCCAGCGGCCGGCACGCCCGTCCGGGGGCGACAGCCGCCCGTTGCATCAGGGACCATTACTGAAATCGGCCGCCTCCCGGCTCGGCGCCGTCCGTGGCGAAAACGTCGCCAGACCAGTTCCGGCCGCTTCCGGCACTCGTTCGACGGCGGGGCGGGTGGGGTAAGTGCCGGCGCGCCGCGGCGCCCGGAGCGCGAGCAGAGCTTGTCGGGCGCGGGCGGTTCATGGCCGGACACCCGGACCCACCCGGGAGGCTGATGGCTCGCGAAGAGCTGTAAGTGTCAGCAAGAGAAGACACAGAGTCGAATTGAGTTAGTCGCTGGCGCCCAGCGCAGCCGTCGACCCGTCCCGGGGCGGGGTCGGTCGCCTGGTTCACGGCCGATACGGACCGTCCAAGAGCGGGTCACTCGACACCTCAGACGGGCGGCTCTCGAGACAGGCTGCCGGGCACAGACGAGCTCCAATAAGCCGTCCGAGTGTCCGGGGAGGGGGAAGCCGCCGCCGACCGCCGGACGCCCCCGTTCCGCCAGCGCCGGCCGGCTCGGCGGTCTGGTGATGGCCGGTAGGCACCGGACGCTCCCCCGTCCGTCTTGGGGCCGGAGACCAGAGTTCGCCACGGGCCGGGCCAGCCCAACGGGCCATGGGCCGGGCTGGGCTACGGGCTGGGCCGGGCCCCCAAATATCATTAGTTAACGGGCTATGGACGGGCCGGGCCAAGAGCTTTGTGCACTATGGGTTTTGCGACTAATGTCAATTTAAGAAAATTTGGAAACTGATGCAAACAAAACCCACTGGGAAAATACAAAAACTAAACCAAATTTAAGCAATGTGAAAGAAAACCTACTTGATATTGAATTTTGGGAATCTTGAGAATTATCCAATGTCACATCATGTCACACATAGGAGGGTTTTCATACAAATTCCGCAACCAAAAAGATCAGAGAATCTCTAGCATCATTAGTTTGTTAATAAAAGTTAAAATGTAGTCATCAGAATAACTTACTTAGCACTAAAACTCCAAAAACTAAGAAGCCACTCAACAATGATGGGCTACAGGGCTACATTAAGTTTAACACTTATATATGGCGATAGTGAGACAATTCCAACACAGTCTTTTTTCCTTCACCGACGGCTTTTAACGAACAGAACCTTAAAAGGATACTCACAAAACACACTGTACGTAATGAGGAACTCTACAGAGTATTTCGCGATGAAAGCTTCTTTAAATGTCCATAAATTTGTCAAAATAAATCACAACAAACCAGCGCCTTCTCAACAAAACTTGCAATCATGGCGGCGGCGCTATGTTTATGTGGCGGCATCTAGGTAGTATACACAACAGTATATCAAATAAATACGTTTTTTAAGTAAGTATCAAGGTAAAAAACAAAATTAAACAAATAAAAAATAAAACCTAAATCACGAAGTCTGAAAACTCGAACGAAAAACAAAACAAAAACTTGATCATATATGTTTTATTATACAGTTGGTCAGGATCGCTACCTGCCGCAGCTGCGACAATCAAGAAGTGTTCGCTCATTTTCGATTGATGATGATGATGCGTAAAAGTCGCAAAAGTACCCAATGACATTTCAAGCTTACCATGTTTTCTGCTTACGCTGCTAGCGATATCCATATCTTGAAAAGAGCCTAACATAAAATAGCAAGGAAAGTAGCAGATAGTTGTCCACAGAGATTCGGTTGACACGTGGGCATGAATTGAAAATAGATTAAATCAGTTTTGCTGATAAATGGATGGATTTTCTCTTTTTTTGGAAGACAGTGCTAAAGTGAGTGTCACCTATTTTGTATGCTTTCTCAGGCTTTTGATATTGCAGCATCTATGGAGTGAATTTAACAGCAAGGTCAATCCCAGACAGATTCATCAATTCCCATAAGTCAAGCTTTTTTCTGCTGGTAAGTGCTGGGAAGCATAGAGTATGTTGCAAATACTTCCTTCAAGTATGCATTAGAGTCACCAATTATGAATGATAATGTTCACACACATCAGCTTGCAAGATAACTTTACTCATAGAATGTAGTTAATATAATCATGTAAACTTTTTATAGGTGTGTAATCATGACCTAATTGACTGAGGTGCTTGCTGTTACTGTTAAAATTTGTGCCATAGGTGCTTGAAATGATTATATTCATTGAAAAGAAGGGAGTCGTGATTGCCATGTTAATATTCATGCAGTTTGAATTGTTCTCAAAATAGTGTAATCAATCATGCTTATTATAGCAATAGACTAAGACAATAACTAGATTGCTATTTTTGACGGGCCGGGCCGGGCTGGGCTTGGAATATTTGCCAAGAGCGGGCTACGGGCTGGGCCGGGCTCTGAACCCTTGGGCCCGGGCCGGGCTGGGCTGGGGATTTTGGGGCCCGTGGCGAACACTGCCGGAGACGGCCCCGGCGATGGATACCGCCACCGGCGCCACACACACTCACAGACCCATG